TTAACTGTCAATGACACAGATTCGATGCTGATTCCTATTCGACCAAAATGTATAAATACGCATTATGTATAACGTTTTATGACCACGACCAGGACCACGACTCGGTTCCGTATCCCTAGTCCGGGATCCTGATTCTCTTCTGAATCTTCTGGAATAGGTAAACTCGTAATAGTTCAAGTATATCAAGTTGACGTGTTTACGTGCAGGCATAACAGTATCTATCGACATTCAATCTGTGATGCAAATTACAAGCGGCATATAAATATATATTTCTATGACCTACATTATTATGTGTTAGAAGCTGATATTATCTAACCATTTACAGTTTCTTATTTAAGAAGACTAATCTTTAACAAATAATTAATTGGATAAAAGTTATCGTCGCAAACTTCCAGAAGCCAACACTTTGCATTGTAAAAAAAGATACCAGTTTAATAGAATTATTCTATACTTATTAAAGCAAAAATACCGAACGATAATATGGAATTAAATAAGTCACATTGATAAATTAAATGCCAGACCAAAACATGGCAGAAATCCATGAAGTCACTGACAAGTGGACTGAGTGATGTTGATAGGTGTTGACTACCTGGTTGGGGTCCGCGAGACGAAAGTCACCAATGGTTAGAGACCTTGAACGACATGACTCAAAATCGTTTGCAATAGCTCAAGTGCATCCATTTTCCGAGCTCTCTTAAATCCTAATCTTCTAGAATCGTCAGCACCTCTACCTTTGTCTTTCTAAAGTAATCTCACTGAATCATACTTCTTGAATAATATCTTCAAACCTTAGTCTTCTTTATTACCATTAATACCTCAACTATCTTTATCATTATGAAATTTGATTTGACATTTGCGTCTTTGTACTAATGTGGTATGGTAACATGAACTTATGTACATACGTACAAAGTTCTACGTTGCAACTGACTGACTGACTGATTGACTGAATAAATCAAATAAAAATTATAAGAAACATGATCAATAAAAAATAAAATCAAATAAGTTTCATTTCAATGTTACCTGCTTATTTCTGATTAAATATAACAAACAAACAAACTATAAAGTACTTTCCATGGACTTTTGTAATCAACACTTAATACTAGTGCATACATGTTATAAATCCTTAAACTACATTTTAAGAAAAGTGAATGTTTTTAAAGCGTACCTTTTCAAGTTGCTCTCATTAAAAACCAATTGCATTTTATCGTTGTTTACTATTACGTATGTTACACATTTTTGAAACCATGAATCGACCAATGTTAGACCACCATTAGAAACCTGGAAGCACTGAAACACGGCCGTTTCATCCTGGTATGGGACTCATCAACACTATACATCGACGACTGCTGCACCCCGCAGGACTCTAACCCAGGACCTTCGGTATTGTGCGCGATCGTCTAACCTCTAGACCACTGAGCCGGTATTTAACGGTGTTAATGTCTAACTTGATCAATTCACGGAGTCACGCAGCCACATACACTATGTTCGGTAGTTACTGTCTACACCCGAACAGGTTGAACTTCACTGGTCTCACTTCTTCCCACTAGAACTCGGAGAAGATTCCTCACGAAGCTGATCACTAGTGAGCTCATTGGTCCGATGGTAAGGCGTTCGCCTACAATGCCGAAAGTCCTGGGTTCGAATCCTGCGGGGTGCAGGAGTCGTGGATGCGCACTGCCACTGAGGAGTCCCATACCAGGACGAAACGGCCGTCCAGTGCTTCCAGGTTTCTAATGGTGTTGGTCTAACATTGATCGATTCATGGTTTCAAAAATGTGTAACTTAACAATCTTAACAACCCCGTAATATTAATACGTATGTGACTGGTAGTTAACATAAGCGTGAAAAAACCAAAACCCAGGTAATGTAATAAACAAGGTTTATCGTTTATATTTGTGTATATTTGTGCAAAACTGTAGATAAGAAGATAAAATTAAGTCAACATTTACATTGTCATACAAAAAAAAACAACAATCACGTCTCATATCATTTGATGCTAATTTTAAAATTTACGCCTATGAAATACACAGACTGTTTTTGAACTGTCAATAATTAAACGTAAATGAACGGATATTTTTTATATTGATTGATATATAAGTTTTATTTTTGTAACAAAATATCGAAATAGTATGCATCAGAGAAATTGAGACGATAACACTGTGGCCATAGGATTCAGTTAAACGTCAGGGCTAAGATGACAATAATTCAATTTGTAACAGAGAATAAATGAAGGTTTGAAGAAAGTCGACTTGCATAGGAAACATTCGTAGCACAAGATGATTGTTAAGATTATTTACTTGAGAAGATGAAGAGGAAACATGTGAGTTAGTCATTAAACTGAATCTTAAATGGTAATACATAAATATATATGCTCTAGCGAAATGTGCGTTTCACTTAGTACTTAAACCCTCCTCCTTTATCTGGGATTGGATGTATTTCCCCCTTACTCACGAATTAGCGAAATTGATGAGCAAAAGTAAGGACTTTAGAAGAAAGCGGAAAAAGATTACCTAACAGAGACTAAAACCAAAAAAATTCATTGAATACCTGACCACAATATCATTTTAGATATTTACATTCAATCTACGTAATTTATTAACCACACCATTATTATTATGTCATAACTACCAGATTATTTGTTTATCTATCATATTTGACGATTTTAGGATATTGGCACTCATTAGATCGTGTAATTGTTTAAACTTTGATAGACAATGACATAAATAAGAAAAAATCCGCATGCTTGGATCAATATTTTTATGATGATTACGTTAAGGTTGAAAATTTAAAGCTCCTCCAGGTGATTTCGTCGTAGTTTGACACAAATTGACATTTATCATTGGATTGAAACATAAAAATTAATACATAAATGATGTTTATTAGTGCAATCACGAAGAGTTAGATTGTTCTCCAGTTTTCACAACTCTTGGTTATTTGATTTAATGCAGTCTGTTTCTCAGTGAGCTACGCAGACTATTCCTCAACTCTGTACAGTCAGAAATCAACAATAGGATACCAAAAATTTCTTAATTTCTAGTCCTCCGTGATCGCCCAAGTAATGTATCCTATTGAATAGGTAAAGGCAGTCAAGAATAATGCTGAATCACCCATCACCGTCTTTATTAGCGACTATACTCTCTATACTATTTTTACTACTTCAAATTCACAGTAGAAGAATTTATGTACTGAACATAATTTGACTACTCATGAGTAGATAAAATGTATTTGCAGATTTTTTCAGATCATTGTATATGTTATTGAGATTATATTCATTTCAGCAGAATGAATAGTTTCCTATCTTATATATATATATATATATATATATATATATATATATATATATATATATATATATATATATATATATTACGTAGTTTACAACTTTACTAAATCAGACGACAATCATGAGGTCTATGCAAAGATGATATTTTGAATTGAAGGTGACTATATTTCAATGAATTGAAATGTATAAGGTAAAAATTCATACATTAATATGACTGGATTGGATATGGACTTAAAACTTCAAAAGATTGAAATAACATGATCACTAAACACTATTGATAATAAATGTCTTACTTTACACACACCATTGAACATTGTCTAATTTGATGTTTCACTAGGATATCGATAATTTATGTCACACCAGTCATTGTTTGAGCATACACTTATGGCATGTTTTAAAGCTATTGTTTAATTGATGAAGTTTAATTCAGTATGACAGTTGTTTATTCTTATGAACTGAGGACAGCTATAAAATAGATGGAATTTTGTTTGTGATAAGAATTTTTAAGTAGAAATTACCGAGAAACCACAATGTACCTAAAAGTACTAAAAGTACAGAAAATTCACTCTACTTAATTGTTTGAGCGCAGATGGCCTCTAGCACATTCAACTTTCGTTTTCCGGTTTTCGATTGAGTTGAACTATCGATTTGAAAATTGTTACCTTCGAAAGTTAATAAAAAAAATCAAAGTAAATTTGGTTCCTAGGTTGAGTCCTCCAAATATTGATTTTGTTTGGCTTATTATTGATAAAGAGAATTGGCTGAATAGATCTTTCAGACTAGTATGTAATTCCTTAGCATTGAACATCCATAAATTTATCAAGGAACTGTCAGATCTTACGACAGACCCTTAATCATTAATATCAGTGGATCGATTCCCAATGATACGACTTTAAGCGTAATCAACATAGCTTACTTACTTACTTTCGCTAGTTACTCCCCATAGAGTATAGGCTGCTCACCAGTTTTCTCCAAACAACTCTATCCTGGGCTTCTCTTTCCAGTTCTTTCCAGCTTTTATTCATTCTTCTCATGTCTTTCTTGGCCTTCCACCTTTCCTTTCCATCTTGAGGGTTCCAAGAAAGGGCTTATCCGGTGACGCAGTTAGGTGCTTTCAGCAATGTGTGTTCTGTCCACTTTTAGCGCTTCTTCCCGATTTCCTCCTCCACTGCAATCTGGTTTGTTCTCTCCTACAGTAAGTTGTTGCTGATAGTGTCTGGTCAACGAATCCGAAGTATTTTGCGTAGACAACTGTTCATAAATACTTATATCTTGTGGATGAGGGCTTCGGTAGATCTCCAAGTTTCCGCTTCATACAGTAGAACTGTTTTGACATTTGTATTGAAAACCCTGATTTTGGTGTTGATTGATATTTGTTTATGAGTTCCAGATATTTTTCAGTTGTAGAGATGCAGCCCTTGCTTTGCCAATCCGCGCCCTCACATCTGTATTTGATTCATCTTGATTGCCGATGATGCTGCTAAGATATGTATAGGTGTTAACGTCCTCCAAGGCAACTCCATCAAGCGTGATTTGGTTGACGCATGTTGTGTTGTATCGTAGAATCTTGAAACCAACATAGCACGATGAATATTTAGTTTCACTAATCACAACTAATTTACTGACAACGTTTCTAAACTCCCCTAGTCACGAAGAACGCCCCCTATATACATTAAACTAATCACAAAATCACCTGAAGCGGATTACAGAATGAACAATGTCACTTTATCATAATTATAATGTTTTCTATGTTGAAGATTCCATTACAGGTTAGTTAATTTAAGGTGTTCTGTAACCTAACAAAAACACAATAATACTATCTTTATATTTGCTATATTTTCTAAAGTTCCAAATCATTTAATCAAATTAATAATGGGTGTAACATCTTCAGTCATGTTACAACATTTTTTTACTGAATCATTAATTTTCTGAAATAAAATGTAATTTACCGAAACTTAGTTTGTAAGTAAAAATAAATGAAACTATTAACTTGATTGTTGATAATCCTAATTGTTAGATTTACTTAAAATTTTATGTATATTAATGTATGAGTGAAGTTAACAATATTTTCTTCCATTAAACAAAAGAATTTTTTTGCATTAAATTAAACAAAGTTACATAAACTATAGAAAATAATACAAAGAATTCGAAAGAGGTTACCTAAAATCACATAATTTTGTAACCTTAATGAATAAAGTCCAATCATTAATGATGTTTAGTTGAATGAAACTAATACTCCCTGACTATTATGATTTTCAGCTATATAAATACAAATGGTATCACTTAGAATGTCATTTTCATAGAATCTAAAAAATCAACTTGGCAATGAAACCGTTTATCTTTCGATTTCTAGTGTTTTGGATGATAAATGTGGTTTCATGTCAAGAGAAAGCATTACATATCGGTAAGATATTAATGTTATTTGTATTGTGATTAGGTAATGAATGTCTTAAAGTATTTAAAAATGAAATATGATCTATCTTGATGAAATTGCACTCGCTTGGCTCATAAGTAACCTGTAGTGGATGTAGGCTCACCATTTCTACGGCGGTCGGTATTCGATATATATTCTTAAACTTCGTATACCGATCGTTCTGATAACCTTTACTGGATAACGCTCAACGGTGTATAAATCACATGACGAATATGAGGCGTTGATGAAGTTTACTTTCGCACCGCATACAGATCACAAAACTACAGGGATATGAAGCCAAAATGAAAATGATGTGTGAGTGCCGAAGAGCAAACGAGTGAGTGAATAAATGAATAGGACTAAAACGTACAAATATGTACATAGGAGGATGAATTAGTCATCGAATTATTTTAGAGGCTAGCATTAAAGCGAGTAGAATGAATATGCACATAGACGGTAAGCAATGCTCATTCAAACACGACTATAATAAAAGTACAATAGTACAGACAAGTTGTTGCTATACAACTGACACTATCTATTAAATAAGTTAATAAAATGGCTTAACCAAACTCAAAAGTATGTTTGCAATGCTATAACCCCCAAAACCCATATTCACCTGAAATTTAAATCTTCAATAAGTACTATTATTCTACTGTGTTTAGAACTGTTATCAAACAGTTAATTTAAAGTGATGCAAGTTATAATTTGAAATGATCAATATAGTTGATGACCATACTGGGATCAACGCTGACTAGAACTAAGTTATCAGATTCACCGATCAAACACATTTTTCATTCACACTTGATAAGTGGTACATAATGATCGAAATACGAACGACGTACATTTTTGTTAGTATTTTAATATCACGATAAAATATGTTGTACATTATTATTAACTGTGTTTATAAAATTAAAGGCGCATGGCAGACAACGCACTGATGCCTATGAAGTTATCGAATAGCGTATTCAACATAGCTTACTTACTGACTTACTTACTTACTTGCTTACGCTAGTTACCCCCGATTGAGCAAAGGCTGCCCACCAGTTTTCTCCAACCAACTCTGTCCTGAGCTTCTCTTTCTAGTTCTGTCCAATTTTTGTTCATTCCTCTCATATCTTTCTCTATTTCTCGGCGTAATGTGTTCCTTGGCCTTCCTCTTTTCCTTTTACCGTGAAGGTTACAAGTGAGGGTTTGTCTTGTGACGCAGTTCGATGCTTTCCTCAATGTGTGTTCTGTCCACTTCCTGCGCTTCTTCCCGATTTCCTCCTCCACTGCAATCTGGTTTGTTCTCTCCCAAAGTAGGTTGTTGCTGACGGTGCCTGGTCAACGGATCCGAAGTATTTTGCGTAGACAACTGTTAATAAATTCTAGTATCTTCTGGAAGATGGCCTTGTTAGTTCTCCAAGTTTCCGCTTCATACAGTAGAATTGTCTTGACATTTGTATTGAAAATCCTGATTTTGGTATTTGTTGACAGTTGTTTTGAGTGAATATTTACTAGGTATTTAACTAGACATCTGATCAATAAATTATAATTTCGATTATCATAGTTGTCCGGTACTGATTATGGGATAGAAATCATGCATATTTATGAATCCTACAGTTATTCATGCATTTAACACCCGATTATCAAAGTAAAATCTAAGTTACACATTTGCCTAACATTAATAATTATTGAATTTTAATATTTAACATTGATTAGTATAATCTGATCATGATTTATCCTTCCTTACCTCATTCAACTTTCAAAAATATTTACACGTATATTTATTTATTGAATGCAACCATTTTGTTCATTTTACGCACAGGTATTACCTATGATAGTGGATTAGGTATAACAGAAGAAGCTTTAGTTAATCGATTTGCTGAATTACATGAGAGAATGGAATACTATGCAGATTTTCCTATACGAAATTATTCGTTAGCAAGCCCGCCGAAATTAAAAATAACTATACGAGAATTTACTTTCGGCTTAGGTAAGTCTTTAGCCTAGGCTCCATTGGGAGTAACAGGCCTAAGTAAGTAAGTAAGTAAGTAAGTTACGTAAGTCTTAATCGTTTCTCACTAAATAAATTGATTTCCTTCATGTCGGAACTTGTGTTGAGTACAGATAGGTGTCAACTCTTTTTAAACCTTAACTCACTTATTTTTAGATTTTATGCCATGCTATTGAAAAGTATTCAGTAATTTACTGTGTATTTCATGATTTCTATTTAAAACTGATTGATCACTGATCAAGTGCTTCTCAAAGTTGATTGAATTCTAAGTTGTAATGTGGTTGTGAGACGTGATCGATAAACGAACCCACCAGATTGTTCAAAATGTATAGCGCAAATACATCACATTTTTCAAATCAGTTACGTCTTCTCTCTGTCCCATCAATTCGTGTTAAATGTACACTACAATGTTGACTCACTGACCTTGTATGGCTATTTTTTGCTTATTCACCAATCATAATGATATTGAATGCGTTTTCTTGCACTCCAGTTACTGTTCGAAACCGATCAAGTTCATCTAGCCAAATAGCTTAATTGTTTTGACTTTGGTCAAGCTAAGATTCTTTGTTCGACAATCTAGGCATTAGCTCATAAGTTCATCTGTAGATAATTACTGTAATCGTGTCTCCACTATATACCGAATCGGAAATAACTTATTGACGACTTCTAGTAACAATTTATAAGTTTAGTTCAGACATGCCGAAACTGATGTATTTACCCAAAAATGGCATCTGATATTTGTTTGCTATGTGGTATATTGAATTGATGACAGTTGGATTTACAGAACAAGAGATTTTAGCTTAGCAGTTTAAAAGTTTATTAACTGTAATGAAACCTATAAGTTCTTGTTTTAGTCGCAGTTAGACAATGCTAAAGAATTGTAAACCAGAGACTGTATTGTGGTTATTATTTATTATTCTCTAAACCAAACGATGTGATAAATGACACTCTTGCTTTAAGTCAAATAATACGTTAAACAGAAGCCTCTTTCTAAACGATAAACTGATAAAGACTAACTGAACCTATTAGTTAACCCAATGGCTTTATTTGGTATAGAATTCTTGTAGTATGAGTGTGTTGTCTTATGACGCACCGACCAAAATCATGTGATAAACCACTAATCAGAATATTGAATCTCATTTGTTCTGCTGTTGACTTTATATCTCTGATTTGGCCAATTACACGCCAAATCAGCACTACTATTATTGAGCCAACGGCTAAGTTCCTATTAGCTGAGTATCTTGTTGGTTCTTCTATAAACTCAGCCTTGAGTCCAGAGACAAATAATCAATCTCTACTAGCTTTATATTTGAAGCAGACGTAGGTTATTTACAAACACACTAGACTGAATCACTAAAAAATCACAATTATACATAGACAGGCCAAAAATAGCTGTGAGTAGATGGAATTGACCTAACATCTCCTTTTGTTATCGTATTTTATAATTTTCTTTCTACGATCAGCATACCTGTCATCTAACTATCAACATGTACTTTCACCTATTTCGTGTAGTGACGTCATTTATTTCATTTCATTGTGATTAGTGACTCATCAATTAATTGCCTTGATTGGTTTAACATTTTCAAATAAATATTCATGTATATTAGAGAGTAAAGACTGATGACGATCTAATCGAAAACAATCATATTGTTTGCTTATATGTTATATATGGAATGTATAGAATAGTAAACACATAGTGATCTAGTTACTTAATAATTAAACATTAAAATCATAACTAGTAATTATTTAAAAAGCCACTTCCAGCTATTACAATATCGGTTCTGTTATATAACAATATCAGTCAGTCAGTCAGATGCAACGTAAAACTTCGTACGTAAGTACATCAGTTCATGTTGCCATAGTAGTAGTAGAGATAGTAAAGGTATTAGAAGTAATCGGAGAGGTTAGGATTAGAAGATATTATTCACGAAGTATGATTCACTGAGGAAAGTTTAGAAAGTCAAAACTAGAGTTGTTGAAGAATCCAGAAGATTATGATTTGAGAGAACACAAAGAATAAATGCACCTGCGCCATTGCGAACGATTTTGAGCCATGTCATTCAAGGTCTCTAACCATCGATTATTATCATCATCTCACGGATCCCAACCAGGTAGTCGACAATTACCGACATGGCTAAGTCCACTCGTCAATGACTTCATGGATTTATGCCATGTTTTGGTTTGGCCGCCCCTAACTTTCTTCCAACCTATTCCTACACTACATTATTTATATTATATAACAATATAACACTAGTTTGATTTTTCAAAGATTTCTATTTGTTAAAACTACTCATCAATTTTTGTTATCAATCATATCAATCAATTTGTTTTTAAACAGTATGCACATTTTTTGAACATAATATACATGTTATTGTAAGTTTAACAACATGTACAATTGCACAATTGATAGAAGAACAAACTATTCCATATGGTATACCACATATAGCTATACCTAGACCTACATGTTCCAATAAAATTATTAATTATCTTAATAATAAAACAACAACTACAACTATATGGATTCAACCAACACCTGAACAAACTGGTAGAGCAATATATGAAATGAGTGAAATGGAACGTGCTTCATTATCTTTATTATTACTTGATAAACCAAACCGTAAGTGATACAGAGATATAAGTTTGTTATACTTTCTTAGGCTGATTATATATATATATATATATATATATATATATATATATATATATATATTATTATCAGATATGCATTTATGATATATAGCAGAAATCCATAAAGTCATTGACAAGTGGACTGAGTCATGTTGGTAGATGTAGGCTATTTGGTTGGGGTCGACGAAACAAAAGTCACTGATGGTTAGAGACCTTGAATGACATGGCTCAGAATCGTTTGCAATGGCGCAGGTGAATCCACTCTTTGGTTTCTCTCGAATTCTAACCTTCTCAATTCTTCATAATCCCTATCTTTCTCCTTCTAAATTTATCTTACTGAATTATACTTCTTGAATCATATCTTCAATCCCTAATCTTCTCCATTACTGCTAATACTTCTACTATCACTATCACTTTTGAATTTGAACTGACAGTTACGTTTGTGTGCTGATGTATGGCAACCTGAAATGATGTACTTACGTACGAAGTTCTTCGTTGTATCTGTCTGTCTATGATACATAAACCTGAATTATGACAGCTACTTATATTATTTTGTATGTTTGATATGAAGCTGATTATGTATAATTACGATAGTTTTTTTGGCAATTGATCTGACTTCGATTTTAACAAATCAATGAATATGTCATGAATGTAACTCATCCGTTTAACTTCGAATATGTGATTACATTCAGACTAATCGTGTTTACGCGATGGTGGTACTGAAAAGTCAAATATGGATTCAGTTGAATGAATTTATTTTAAATATGCGTTTACACAAACAAACATTAAAATGCAAAGTAGTGTAGCTTCGCACCACTCATTCATTGTACTTTATCGACCTTTTTTTATATTTGTACTAGTTCGATTACAGTAACGATGTTTGTATATTTGACTGAGTGTGTGTGCATGCTTACTGGCTTATCACATGTCTAGCTCATTATTACTTGACTATAAATACTTACTCATTCTTTAGCCCATGAAGAGTTGGCTCACTCGCCTTCTCCAAAACGCTTTGCTTTGCTTGTACGTTTCTCCATTCTCATTTCTGTCTACATAGATGAATGCATTATATAAATTAGTCCGCAACACCGTATTTGGCTTCTTACTACCGCTGTCGCATGAACATGGTTTGCCTAAGTATGATATACAGAAATGGACAAGAAGATTTATTTCGTTGCACACTCGATTAATCTTCCACACTGAAGTACAGTCGTCAGCCGTTAAAGCAAGAAGGCGAAGAGAAGCGGAGAAAACAAGCGTACCAACTACATTTGATAATAAAATACGTCATTCACTATTTTTACCCAGACAAAAATAAGCCAAAGGCATGTGATGAATGCATACGCTCATATAAAACCAACCAAGGTTATCAGTGAATAATTAAAATGATGAAAACACACACGAATAATGACTTGAGAAAAATAAATGAACTAGGCTGTCTGAAAACTAGAATAACCCATGTAAGCGTGATATGGTGCTAGTCATATATATATCTGAAGCACTGAGATAGTGATTTTTTAGAATTCGAAATGATAAATTGTATACGACTTCTTGAACACATAAATGAGCTTTGAGTGTTCTAATTGCTACTGCTTCAACAAACCAAAAAAATGCTGCGCTTTTTGTCTACTGATAATTTTGAAGGTTCGAGCAGCGTCACTAATATGCCAAGAATTGATAAAACCCGGAGCTGTTGCATTATTTTGAGTCACTGACCATCTCAATCCCACATTTTTGCGAACATACTTCATAAACGTGAACATGTGCGCTTCTCTTAGTGCTTCGGCGTGTACATGTAAATTAGTAAATAACTTTGGAGGTACTGACAAAAAAGGATTTGCCAATTTTCGTTTGTTTGAGTAAGCAGTTCATATATTTTTATGTTATAAGTCTTGCTGCTGAATTAGTGGTCGATGTGCAACGGATGTATGGAATAGTTCTGATTGTTGCAGACAAGAAAAGTATCATCAACATATCCACAATAGAATGCAGTTCTACCAACTATGTGCATAGGCATAGATTATTCAGAACTGAGCTCAAGGAGTCTACTCATGGTGTCTTCACCAATTTTACGATATAACACATTGCTGAATTGAAATTGTATACATTTGGTACATGTGATAAACAAGAGCTGTTTAAATATTTTGACATAGATTAGGTTCAGTTATTTTTTCCGAAGGGATCTTTGTGAGGAGTAGTGAAATATCAGAAGATAACATGAATTTATTGGAAAAATTCAAGCTAACAAACTTTTGTTAGGAGCTAGTTACTAAACACTTTATCAACCGATGAACGAGTTTGTAGTAAATTCATTTAGTCATTAATACTATTGACCTCGTCGGAATGTTAGGTTTGTTAATATTTAGTCAGCCACATAAATAAGGTTATTGTGATTCTTTAAGTTTGAATTCATTTTAATAGGATTATCAGTTAAGTTCTTCTTCAACAGTTCTCTCAACTTTTTAAAAACACACTTCTCTATCATATCTTTTTAAAAAAAACACCTGCAATGGCGCAGGTGCATCCACCCTTTGTGTTCTATGAAATTCTAACCTTCTGCATTCCTCATATTCTCTACCTTTCTCCTTCTAAAATCATCTTACTGAATAATACTTCTCCAATCATATCTTTGCTCCCTAATCTTCTCCATTACTGCTAATACTTCTATTATTTCTATCACTCTTGGATTTGAACTGACAGTTGGGTGTGTGTGCTGATGTGGTATGGCAACCTGAACTGATGTACTTACGTACGAAGTTCAGCGTTGTATCTGTCTGTATGTCTATCTCTATCATATCTGTCATGTCGTTCTCAGTATTGTTTTACAAAACTGTATATTCGGTTGTATTATTAAGTTCTCTGTAGGAAATGTTCGTTAACTTCCAATCGATGAAGAGTTAGAATTGTTGAATTGTGTGAAACTATTTCAATTTTATACTATATTAACTGATATTTAGTGAACTTACGGAAATCATCAATACATTCAATGTACAATTAATTGTATTGATTAATGTAGGTTATGCCTTGACAATCATGAAACTTATCCACCACCATTTTTCTTTTTCTTTTTTTGAATTATATCCTATTTAGTCGAAACAAATTCTGCTTTAGATTTTGTTTTACAATCAGAAATAAATGATGAAAAATTTGTACCATATTTTTCAACTCAAATGTTTTCTCTAACGAATCAATCCAATCCAATGTATCCTACATCAAATTCATATGATACCATTGATGTCTTATTGAAACGATTTCAACAAATGAAATTAAAATCATCAACATTTCTTTTAAGTCATATATTTCATATTCAAGTTAGACCGCTCGATTTAGATCAATTGTATAATGTAAGTGATTTTGTAGTGTGATTTGAGAATTTGTTATATTTGTAGCAGGAAACTTTTATAATGAAGATTATGAAGCAATTGGGATCATAACTGATACCATAGATTAAAAGGTGTAAAAGAATAGATCAGCACTTCACCACTAAAGTCCAATTTATCAAATTTGGGAAGGAAAAATGTTCTAAGTTTTCGCTCCCTATGATCACTAAACATGCATTGACGGAATTTATTGAGTTCCTTTTTGCTATGTTATGACATTGAGTTAATCACTTGCTCTATTGCATCTCATTAACATAGTTTGAATCCAAGTGAAAAGTATTAATTGGTTCGTGTTTGTCTTGCTCTTAAGTATAATTTGTCTTTTAAAAGAAGTTAGACGCATCCCTATGAAGCGCCGATGGTGAATATGTATATGGAGGTCTTTTGTTTCAGGACAAACTAGTCCCAAATTTGAATTTAATTAAATATGAATTGTTCTAAATTCAATTACATAACACTTGGTTTTCGTCTCTTGGGATTCAGTCATAGTCTGCAACAGTAGGTCCCAACATACATAAAGGAAAAAGCAAAATTCTCCGATGCAACACAACATGCACCAACCAAATCACTCTTGATGGAGATGCCTTGGAGGACGTTAACACCTTCACATATCTCGGCAGCATCATACAAAATCAAGGTGGATCCGATGCAGATGTGAGGGCGCGGATAAGCAAAGCAAGGGCTGCATTTCTACAGTTAAAAAATATCTGGAACTCCAAACAACTTTCAAACAAAACCAAAATTAGGATATTCAATACAAATGTCAAGACAGATCTACTATATGGAGTGGAAACTTGGACAACTACGAAAGGCATCATCCACAAGATACAAGTATTCATTAACAGCTGCCTACGCAAAATACTTCGTATTCGTTGGCCAGACACGATCAGCAACAACCTACTGTGTGAGAAAACAAACCAGGTTCCAGTGGAGAAGGAAATGAGGAAGAAGAGATGGAAATGGACAGGACACACTACGAAAAGCATCGAACTGCGTCACAAAACAAGTCCTCACATGGAACCCTCAAGCAAAAGGAAAAGAGGAAGACCGAAGAACACCCTACGCCGAGAAATAGAGAAAGATGTGAAAGGAATGAACAAACATTGGACAGAACTGGAAAGGGAAGCCCAGGACAGAGTTGGTTGGAGAAAACTGGTGGTCGGCCTATCCTCCATTGGGGATAACAGGCGTAAGTAAGTAAGTAAGCAAGCTGGATAGATTTACTGGAGGTAACCTAGTAGGAAGTGATAAAATGAGCTTCAATTAGTTTAACAGTATTCAATATCACAGTCACTAAAAGTCAAAAAGTAGTGAACAGTTATTTCATTTATTTGGATTTAGTTTTTTGCTGAAAATCAACTTCGTATTACAAAATTGTTATTAGAATTGACTGTAAACCTGTTCGGACAATGCTAAATTTACAGGTTTCTTTTAATTTTAATGAAACAAGCATCAAAACAATTTGTCACTTATCACTTAATAATGTATACAAGTAAAACAAATTTGATTAATAATTGGTACATACAGATGAAGACTAAAGTAAATTGAAACTTACGTACTCAGTTTATCGATTTTTGTTGTATATGGTATAATTGTGTAATTACTAAGTAACTAGATTATAATCTATGTATTTTCCCATGTATTTTGAGCTCTTAAATAACTCATTAACTATAGTTGTATGATTTATTATGCTCAACTTGTTGCTAGTTTGTTATCCGCTGTTCTCCCCTAATCACAACCACCTTTGACTAATTCATGTATAGTTGTTCAGTTCTATTTCTTAGTGCGGTATGGTCTGTTTTTGTGTGTATATAAACGAACATTTCAATTATGGTAAGAAAATCTTAAACTGGCGGTAATTCGTCTTTGTTCCTTCTCTTAGATTAAGGCAAGTTAGTGTTGGACAGTCGTTCAAGCATAGAATATACAAAACATCCGTCCTTGTTGTATAGTAGTTACAGAAGATGAATCTGTTGAGTGATTTATTTAAAGGACGTATCATTACATGAAAACCACTCATACACATTAGAAATTCTGATCATCATGAAATATCTAGAATTAGAGTTGATCAATGTGTTCGACGGATAAAATCGAATGGAATGAATAATACTTGTCTTCAAATGGAATAAATTTGGAAAAACTCTATTTCATAATGATCTCTAGTAAACATTAAACTTAATTGAATATTTAAAATTATTGATTCAAAGATAGTATGTGAAATAATAATGAAATATTACGTTTGAAATTTCATGATTTGTTATACCATTAGTAAGATTACAGTAGTTTAGACTGGAAAATGTGGCTGTCTATAAATTTTCTAAGCTGTTTTTGCTATATGACTAACATCTTACTTACCTACTTACACCTGTTACCCCCAATAGAGCATACGCCACCAACCACCTTTCTCCAACCAATTCTAACCTTGGCTTCCTTTCCCAAATCTGTCCAATTTTTGATCATTTTCCTCATGTCTTTCTCTATTTCTCGGGTTAAGGTGTTCCTTGCATTCCTCTTTTCCTTTCACCTTGAGGGTTTCAAGAAAGGACTTGTGACGCAGTTCGGTGCTTTCCGCAATATGAAGACCATCCACTTCCACCTCTTCTTCCTGATTTCCTCCTCCACTGCAGTCTGGTTTGTTCTCTCCCATAGTAAGTTGTTGCTGATGGTGTCGGGCCAACGAATCCGAAGTATTTTGCGCTGAGAACTGTTATTAAATACTTGTGTCTTCTGGATGATGGCTTTTGTACTTCTTTAAGTTTCCGCCCCATACAGTTGAATTGTCTTGATATTTGTATTGAAAATTGAGACTTTGGTGTTCGTTGACAGTCGTTTTGAGATCCAGGTGTTCTTCAGTTGTAGAAATTCAGCCCTTGATTGCCGATCCGTGCCTGTACATCTGCATTGGATCCACCTTGATTGTTGATGATGCTGCCTAGATATGTAAAGGTGTTAACATCCTCCAAAGCATCTCCATCAAGAGTGATTTGATTGATGCATGTTGTGTTGCATCGGAGAATTTTGCTTTTTCCTTTATGTATGTTGAGACCTACTGCTGCAGAGGCTGCTGCTACACTGGTCGTCTTCTTTTGCATTTGTTGTTGCGTGTGCGATAGAAGAACCAGGTCATCTGCGAAGTCCAGATCGTCCAGCTGCATCCTAGCTGTCCATAGTATATCGTGCTCCAATCCAGATGCTGACGTCTTCATAATCCAGTCGATGACCAGGAGAAAGAGAAAGGGTGAGAGTAAGCAACCTTGCCTGACACCGGTCTTCACCTCGAACGAGTCTGTTAGTTATCTTTCGTGTACGATTTAGCAGTTGAATCCATCATAAGAATTCCGTATGATATCGACTTTCTTCTCAGAGGCACCGTAGTATCGAAGAAGCCTCCATAGTTTTTTCCTATCCACACTATCGAATGCTTTCTCGTAGTCAGTGAAATTGATTTAGAGTGGTGAGTTCTATTCAACTGACTGCTCTACAATGATTCGTAATGTTAGAATTTGGTTGATACACGATCGATCCCTACGAAATCCAGCCTTTTGATCTCGAAATTGGATATGACTAATATCATCCGTATATTTTTTGAAATTTATTTTGCACTAATACAAATCCCACATCAACTCAACCATCATTATAACTGAAATCATGAGTCAATCATTGTTAGACCACGATTAGAAACCTAGAAGCCCTGGACGGCCTTTTCGTACTGGTATAGGATCCATTAGCAGTGCACATCAACGACTTCTGCTACTCGCAGGACCCGAACCCAGGACCTTCGGTCTTGTGCAAGAACGCCTAACATATAGACCAGTGAGACGGCATCCGAAGGTGATTTTGCGTAACCTCATCCACTGTCTTTCGTTGTTAATGCTTACACTCGACAGGGTTGAAATTCACTGGTCACATCTTCTCATTAGAACTCCGAGAATTTCCTCATGAAGCTAGTCACTTGTGAGCAGATAGTACGATAACTCTATGATGAAAAATCATTGTAACTTTATTTTATTGCTTACTTTTATAGATATTTCAAAATAGATTTATTTTTCGTAATTTCTATTGGATATTTCCAACTACATTGACAATCACACCGAATGATTTAATTCGTGTATCAACAACTAATCAATTGGAACAAGTTGCAACAGGATTTTTTCGACAATTTCCTATATTGAATGAAGAGGATTGTTTAAATCTTAATATTGGTGAAAATATGCGGTTATTAATGAGTGAAATATTTAAATGTAATACAAATAATATTACAGTAAGTTGGAAAAAATGTAGTTAGCTTTTTTGAATAAAACATCATTATTGTCAATCACTGATCAATAAATGATCGATCATTCGCTGTTAAGAAATCTGTCATGAAAGGTTAAGATATATTTCCATAAAAAACTCATGAGCAGAGTAATAAAAAAAACTCGCGGTCAGTTAAATTTCAAGTAAATTTTACATTCAGTAACATATTTAATTCAAGATATAAACATCAGCGGCTGTCTACTATTGTTTGGTGTACAGATCAATGATTATCTTATACGGTTTGTTAAAAGATTCTTTTCATCACAAGTTAGTACCATGAAAAAATGTATGGTCATTTTGTTCGATTTTATGAATTTTCCAATAGTTCTCATCCGCTTAAGAATCAAATCCTGAATAATTGAATTGTACAAGTTACAAATCATCAACTGAACTTCAAGAACTCAAGATAAAGGAGTTTAACTACATCAGTTGGTCTTAGTTCACGCTGTAAATGAACAAACCTTCGCAAACTATTTTATCACTAAATTCTTTTTCAATATTCAGAAACTATTATGTAAAATCTCCATTCATTTTTAATTAAAGCAATATTATTTACAATGGAAAGTAAAAACTAAAGTAACCACTAGTTGTGGAATATTTGTTGTTCACCTTAAAAACCTAACAAGTAGTTATTATTTTCAGTTAGAGTTCTGGAGATTTGTGTTAGAACACCAGTAGAAACCTGGAAGCACTGAAATACGACCGTCCCGTTCTGGTATGGGACTCATCAGCAGTGAAGTCGCGCAAAATCCATAGATCAATCAGAGTTAGACATTAACAACGTTGAGTGCTGGCCCAGTGGTCCGATGGTTAGGCGTTCGCGCACAATACCGAAGGTACCGGCTCCGAATCCTGCGAGGTGCAGGGGTCGTGGATGCGCACTGCTGAGGAGTCCCATACTAGGACGAAACGGCCGTGTTTCAGTGCTTCCAGGTTTCTACTGGTGTCCTAACAATGATTGAGTGATTTCAAATGTGCAATTATTATTTCTTTTTATTGTGATGTGAATATATTGTAATATTCATCATACACAACAATATGGACCAATGAAAATGTGATTTAAATTGATTAGAATGGTTAATTGAATCCGATCATATACAAATATATTTCTGTAAACTGTTTCACTTGATATCTTTCATGAGATAAGAAAAATGGATATGTGGATTCTTTTTTCTTGTGGAAATCATCATGTGAATGTCCATTCATCAGATTGAAATTGAAGAGAGGAAAATTCAAATCAATCAATTATCTGTTTCAAAGTGTTTATTGACACAAAAAACAATATTGATCTAGATATTTACTTTATATTACAAAGGATGAATTTGCAACCAGTAAATATGAATAATTTAATTGCTTAAATTTCAAATCAACACCCATTTGATATTTATATTAGTCGAATGAAATATATCTCATTTAGTTTTAACTGGATTTCCTGCATAGGATAAAGTGGACGTCCTTTTCAGCTTCGTTTACGTAAACACCAATTAGCAGTCAAACGACACGAAAATCCGTCGTTCATATCAATACATGCCAACAACTATGGACACAAGCGCCTGACTGGAATGATGTGGAAGTACTGGATAGGGGGAGCACCAAGAACACTAGGGAATTTTTAAAATCTTGACCCTCAGGTCAACCAGAAATCAACAAATACATTCACATTGACCCAATTTATCAACCAATCAGAAAAATCCTAGGCGACATTGGATCAAGAAACAGATCAAAAGGGGGATACAATCAAAAATAAAGGTGTAAACAACGATAGACTTAAGGTCAGCAGCAACCAATCAAGATCGAGGTTAACAGAACAAGCTACGGGTCGAACTTATGGAGAAATTCGTATACTTCACTTCTATCTAAAGTTTGTGCTGATGATGTTGTTCAGCAGACAAAAAACAATGAAAGTGTCACAACCAAAACAACATCCAACTCAGAGAACAAAACACCACCGAAATTATCCACCTGAGCTACAAATTTTCGCCACCATTTCTTTTTCATCACTATCAAGCATAATAAAAGACTGTTTTTTTCTTTTTTATTTTCTTTCTAAATTTTTAGGAACGTGAATTAGAAGCTGTTTACATGATTTTATTATCTAGTCAAGCTACAATCTTAATGAAAAGTCTTTCAATAGATTTTCTGAATATTTCATCTATTTCAAATTGTGATGCTACTCCATTACAGCCTAGACCATATGGTCAATTATTTTATCGTATACTTGTTAATGTAAGATCAGGATTTATTGTTTGCGTGTTTGTTTTTAAATTAAACTTTTAAATTACATGTTGTATTATCCTCTCGTGTAATCAGTCAGTCCAAAGATTTGCATACAGATAACATTTACAATGCATCGTGTTAATGAAAACTACACATCAACTGGCAAACTGTATGATTTGTAATTATTCTAAAAGAAACTATCGTCAATCTCTTGATGAAGGAATATTAAGGCAGAGCTAAACAGTGTACAAACTTATCATTAGTATGCAGTATCATTTAAATGTATTTATCTCTAGACAGACATTTTTATTAGAGACTATCACACTAGTTTACATGTCAAGAGAAAAAGAGAGATTGATTAAAAATCAAATCGTTCTTGTGTTAAAATACTCTGAGAGAAAATTCAGTAGCTCGTTTTTATAACCTATTTATTTAAGTTCTATAACACTAGACTGCCTCAATATAGACTTACAGGTTCGAATACAAATTATACATCTGAACTGAAGAGAAATAAGAACAAGTCTAATATACTTGAACGAATTATGTTCAGCTTGAGCTTTCGAAAGTCGGTATTCAGGTTACACTGGATGGTATTTGATGAGCAGGTGATTGTTAGAAGACAACTATACAGCAGCGAAGAGAAATTGAAAAGATGGAACATTTCGAAATTGTTAGTTTCGTTTAAATACTTTCGGATATGTTTATAATTACCGAAATTCATTAATATATGTGAACATGTAAATGTTACATATATTTTAAAAACGCTAGACAATAATCGTAAGGAGGCAATAAGTTATCTTAAGATTGAGAGGTCCGTGGATGCTACCTCAATGTTGGATGGGTTTATTGGAGCTGGTCTATTCAATAGTTCTTCAAATTACTATAACCACCTGTTTTGCTGTTCTTCCATGTCTTCTTTGTTCTCGACCGGTCAGGATAGGAAGTGCATGTGGGATTTAATATGTCCTACAAATGTACTTCTAGAACGGTGAACGCAATATTGGCGAGCACAGAGTCTATGGGAAAGCTATAGTTAGAACAAGACCAATTTTGCTTTAAATTTTATCTGTTTCTAAACATAAAAATAATTAAATTAGTACAATAAATAAGGAAATTACAATTATCAAGTAAGACGAGCAAACGTACCGACCAATATAGTGTCTTATGGAAATGAGTAAAGTTATGAGTCACATCAATATGATAAGATAATAATGTCAATCAATTTGTAGGTCATTTACGACAAAGAAGGTTTACAGACACGTCAGATCAGATCACGTGATGGACGCTTAAACCACAATTTGATTGGTTAGTTATGACATAACTACAATTAGTTATGGAAATAACTAACAGTGCACCAGCTAATACTTTATGGTCACTGCTTTCAAATTTAGTGTATACGTGTTTTGTAGAAAAAAACACTAGCTAGCATGAATCCACCAGCTTGAAAATCTTTTCCCAATATCTCCAACACACTAGTATCAGTGTACCTTTAAGGTTATGTATGCTTCCTCACATTACTTTTTCAATAGATCATTCAATCACTCTTTGATGATATTCCAAGTACATAAAGATTAGAAATGAAACTAGATTCGGGTATTCCTTAACTAATTATAATCTATATTAATATGACAAATAGTAAACAATATGACAATTCACTGAATGCATTTGACTTGACATTTAATCAGTGGTACCGATAAGTTTTATGAATTGTAAAACAGAGATTTTCAGTAGAGTTTGAAGAGAATTTGATTTTCTTTACATAAAAATGACTTATACTATGAGATGTAAGGTAGTCAAAGTGTTAAATAGATAAATGGTGCACCATATAACTATCCCCTTGGAATAAACATTAAATCTCACGAATAATTAATCAATAATAAGTAGTTGATATCACTTTCTGTAAACTGATAATCACTTCCATTTAATCCTGTCTATTTGTGCTCATACAAAACAACTGAATTTAGCTGGCAGAATTACCGAAATGGAAAAATTTACTATTCTATTCATTAGAAACGGATGTAAATGGAAAGAGTACATTTTTACCAACTGGAAATTTCTCAGAAAATGGTGATATTGCATTAAGTGATTATGGACAAGTTGTAGCAAAACAAGGTCTATTAAGTGGTTTATTTCCAAACACATTTCGTTCATTTCAAAATAAAACGATCAATATTTCAACATCATTTGTAAGTTGTTTTTCTTTGATAAAAGAAATTTTCATTTGAATTTTTCTTTCATCTTATAGACTGTGAGTTTTTCAATTTCAGTGTAGTTTATCAAGAAATAACTTTAAATAACTTAAACAAACATATTGTATGGCAAAATTCATATTTTACACAAAAGAGTAGATCAGTTTCCTTGTTGATGCTTATCATTTTTCTACTTCATATTCTTTCAATTTGAATTGAATCGTGAATTAGTTGAGAGAAACAATTGACAATTGAAGTAATTTTACAATTTATCCAAGAGTAAAATAATTGAAACAGCTGATTCAAGCAGTAAAAAAATTTACATGTCGGATTAATTTAAGGTTCATTGGAAAATTCAGCATTTAAGAATTCTGACATGCTTGAATGCTATTACGAGTTCACCTTACTCAGTAAACGGAACGAAGATCAACGATGCAGTGATATGATAGGCTATTCTAACTAACTAACTAACTAGAGCAAGAAGTCTTGATAAGGCGTAGAGAAAGCATTAAGTTGCTAAGCACACAACTGAAGATTATTTATACAATGATAGAAACGCCATTGTTAAGAGCCACAAAATAGCATACTAAAAAAACCCGTTAACCAATGACAGTCAAGATCTTTCCGAGTGGGAACTATAATCTAAAGGTCAACTAAGCGTCTTTGGCGCGAAAACTTAAAGAATTCAAAATTTTCAGGATAAATTATAAAATTAGGACCTTTTCAAATTGATTTCTAGGGATCTAACGTCCCCAACAAATTTATTTTATTTGTTTTAATTAATATTCCATACATTTTGTTTCACTTTAATTTCAATATTGACATTTATAGGATCCACCATACATTGTAACTGGTCGAATAACTGAAAACAATGAATTGCTTAATGCATCTGGTTTAGTTATAGATATATTAAACGAATTTGCAGTTCGACTTCAATTTCGGTCGGTTTGATAAAATTTATTTATTTTTTTTTAAGATGAAATATATTTTTCAATATGTGCTCAAATTTTACGATTATTTTGTTCAAATCAATATTACTGAATTAGTTTAATAAACAATTACTGGTTGTATATGTTGGGGATGTTAGATCCCCAAAACTCACTTGATAAATGCTTTATTTTGGTTTTCACGTTTGCCAGTATGGGTTGATCAGTTGACCTTGAGATTTCATTTCCCACCAGCAAAATCAATGGCTGTGATTGGCTGCTGTGTATTTTAGTGTGCTATTTTCGTAACTGTCCTAAGGACGTTTCTATGATGTATAAATAAACGAGAGTTGTATGCTTGATTGTATTGTGATTGCTGGATGTGTGTTTGTAGAATATACTTTCTACGCTTACCAAGCCTTCTGTTTACAGATTGGGATTCAAGGTAGCCTATCTGGACGCTGGTAATTGTCTCGTTCATGTTTATCGACTAAGGTAAACTCGTAATAGCTTTAAGCATACCTATTGACGAATATAATAGTATGCATCTTTTTTAACGCAAAAACTCATACTTTATAATCTAACCAAATCTCATCGATCAAGCAGTTGGTGAAGAAGTTTGCCAGCAAAAATAAACAGTTCAATGAATTAGTTCAATAAAAGTAGATACATGATCATTTTACTTGAGTTTAGTGATCAATAAATTTTTCTTAAAAAAAACACAAGTTACAATTAATAATGAAGATGATCACTTCATATCTCTGTATCACATTTTTGAAACCATGAATCAATCAATGTTGGAACACTATTAGAAACCTGGAAGCACTGGACGGCCGTTTCGTCCTGGTATGGGACTCCTCAGTATCAATCACAGCATGTTATAAGAATATTGATTTCATTACCTTGGTAATATATCATTAAAGTAAATTATAGAAGGCCTTGGGTTCGAATCCTGCGAAGTACAGGAGTCGTGGATGTGCACTGCTGATAAGTCCCATACTAAGAGGAAACGATTGTTCAATGCTTTGAGGTTTCTAATGGTAGTCTAGCAATGATTAATTTATAATTTCAATATCTAATTACTAATATATTTTAAAGCGTAAATGTAATCATTCTAATATCAATGAACAGTAAATACAATTGAAGGGAATTGTAAATATTCTACTTAGTTGATTTGAATTACTTTAGCCTATTTGTTACAAATTACAATGACAATTAAATGATAATGTCTTTTATTTAGTTCAATCAACGGTTATTTGAACTAGTTGTGAGATTATTTTTTGAAAAAAAACTATTTCGTCAATTTTAAATCATTGTTTCATTTTTTTTTTGAAAAAAAATCTATCCAGTTATCGACTTTTCATCTCACCTGATAAAGAATTTGGAGTGAAAATTTCAAATACAACATGGAATGGTATGGTTGGTGAATTATTGGCTGGAGTAAGAAGTTTTAAAATTTTTCCCTGTGAAAACATTATTTTTTGATATATATCAAACATAAAAAGATGTTTGTAGGTACTTATGGTGACCAATGTATCCCTAGTTTTGTGACGGTTGATATTGATTGTGTTCCTAGACTTCGTAATTTGCTCGTCCAGACCAATCGCTACTAAGTAGCACCTAACGGTTTTAAATTAGAAGGTGAACATGAAGTGTTGAATACATTTATTTTGGTACACTAAAAATGGACTAGCAGACCACAAGCACACAGAGCACGGCAGACACACTATAGATTGAACTAGCGAATGGAGTGAAGTGGAGAAGGCTAGTGAGTCAACTCAACTAGGTAAAGCATGACTAAGGATTCATAGTGAGACAAAAAGAAGACAGACATGTAACGAGTGAGATAGGTCTGCACACATGAATGTAAGCGACGAATGATTGACAAGGTCAAACAACAAGTAGGACAAGTCATGTGAGCTAGACATTGAATGACTCATTACACTATTACTAACCACTTCAAGAAAATAAATATGTTTGGAGAAAGATTTCGTTATCCATTCTCGTTTACATGGTTATTCATTTATATAAACGTTTATTTGTCTTAACTGATTTACTAATTAATTTTTTAGAGAACTGATATGATAGCTGCACCATTGACAATAAACAAAGAAAGATCAGAAGAAATTTTCTTTGTAGGACCATTTATGGAAGATACGTTAGGAATGTTAATAAATGTTCCTGAACAAAGAGAAGAATTATTTCAAGTGTTTCTACCATTTCGTTATGATATTTGGTTATGTTTACTGAGTGCAGTATTTGTTGCAGCTTTTTTAATAACAATATTTAGCATAATCAGTCCATTCAGTGCATGGAATTTAGCTTTACCAGGTGCTACTTCAGATGAAGTTTCAATATTTCACAGTATTTGGTTTACAGTCGGTGGTATGCTTATGCAAGGTAAGTTTCAAGTGTGAAAAGTTGTCTGACTAGATTGAACGTCTTAAAATTATTCCATATAGGCTAAACTTAATCCACATAAAATAGAATATTTCAATTGGAGTTATGGAGATCAGTGTTTTTACACATTGACATCATCAATCAATCATTAATAGACCAACATTAGAAAGCTGGAAGAACTGGACGGCCATTTCGTCCTGGTGTGGGACTCGTCAGCAGTGCGCATCCACGACTCGCAGGACCTGAACCCGGGACTTTGGGTCTTGCGCGTGAACGCCTAACCTCTGGACGAAATGGCCGTCCAGTGCTTCCAGCTTTCAGTAAATATTTGTGGGCTAACTAAAATTATTTTAGTCATAATTTACAATGAATTACTGTTAGAAACATTTTATAGATTGGTTCATGAATTAAATTTTTTTCAGGGCAAGAACTGCGTGCCATTGCTTGCTCAGCAAGAACAATAACACTTTTGTATTGGCTTTTAGTTCTGGTCATTCAAGCCACATGGCAAGCTGATTTGACAGCTTTTTTAACTAGGAATGTTATACAAGTACCTGTATCATCGCTGGAAGATCTTGCCAGTTCATCATTATCATTGGCAGCTGTTAAAAACAGTGGTACAGTGAAAATGTTTCAGGTTTGTTTCATTGTATGGATTTTCGAGAAACCTGATCAATGTTGCTATTTCATTTTTATTTGTTTCAAACTAAAGAGAGGTAAATTGATTGATATTTTATACTAAATTAAAATGATCACATTTAGAATTAATAATAAAGAAGAGTGTTGAAATTCATCTGGATTTAAATGTCTTCTAAACATCTAGTTTATTATTGATAACTTATCGATCATTAGGGCTTTGATAGTGATCATACACAACAGTAATTTTCATGTATGTTTAAATTTTTTGTCCTGATATTATATATATATATATATATATATATGTATATATATATATATATAATCTTAACATGAACCACAACCTCTATCCTGAGAAGGAGTGAACTTTATTATTATCGGTAAAAGCTCATAATTTCTTCTTTTTTGTCTTTGTTGGTATATCACTATGAAATACCAGTTGATAGCTATGGTAAATAAGGCGTTAAGGTTTAAACTGATAAGTTTTTGCCAACTTGCGTCACTTATGGCGTAGGCGTGATATCCGTTTGCTGACTAAAGGACGAGTGTACTGTGCAGCAGTTCGCTCCGTTCTCCTATATGGCTGTGAAACATGGCCAGTGAGAGTAGAAGATATTCGTAGGTTACTGGCTTTCGATCATAGGTTTCTTCGAAGCATTGCTCGTATACCGTGGGACAACCGAGTAAGCAATGCTGTCGTTAGGAAACGAGTACTAGGTAAGGGTGGCAGATCAATCGATGAAGTGGAGAAACTTCATCAGTTGAGGTGGTTGGGACATGTGTTGCGTATGCCTAACCACCGACTGCCTCGAAGAGCTTTGTTTTGTAGTGTAGGAGTAGGTTGGAAGAGAGCTAGGGGCGGCCAGACCATAACATGGCAGAAATGCATGAATTCATTGACGAGTGGACTTAGCCATGTCGGTAACTGTCGACTACCTGGTTGGGGTCTGCGAGATGATAATAATCAATGGTTAGAGACCTTGAATGACATGGCTCAAAATCGTTCGCAATGGCGCAGGTGCATTTATTCTTTGTGTTCTCTCAAATCATAATCTTCTGGATTCTTCAACAACTCTAGTTTTGACTTTCTAAACTTTTCTCATTAAATCATACTTCTTGAATAATATCTTCTAATCCTAACCTCTTCGATTACTTCCAATACCTTTATTACCTATTCTACTATTAGATTTGAATTGACAATTACATCTCTTTGCTAATGTGGTATGGCAACATGAACTGATGTACTTACGTACGAAGTTCTACGTTGCATCTGACTGACTGGAACTGATAAGTAGTATGTTTGAGTTTTAATGTAGACATCAACTTTTGGATCCAGTTAAACATCAAATTATTCTTCAATATTACTGCTAATCAATAAATAAAGTGCAAGAGGTAATTGAACATTTTACTTACCGAATTTCATAAGAATGTAAAACGAGAATGAATTGAATTAACAAATATGCATTTTTCTTTGATTTAGATTTTAATACTTACATTTACAATAGTACATTTAGAATATACATTTTCTGTACAATTTTTTTGTCTTTCAGACTGCAACTGCCAATGAATTTCAATCAAATATATATCGAAGAATCATGGAAAATCCGACCATTCTCAATAACTTACAAGAAGCTATAGCTTATGTCCGTAACAGCACAAAAAATGTTGTACTAGATGACAGAATACAATTAATGCATAGTTTGCCTGAGAATGAAGAAGCTTTGACAGTTGTCGACGATAAAAAAGTTATTGTACCATTCGGATTCGCTGTAAGATTAGGTGAAGAGTATGCTCCACTAATGTTGAATTTGTAAGTTATTTTTACAGAACATCATTTTTTATTACCCTATTGTTATAATTTGAAGCCTCATTAAGTCACGAGAGCCATTCGTGACTTATGCACATCTCAGCTATATAGAAGTCAAAAAAACTTAATTTTATAGTTAGTTGTATGGATAAAGGATTTGATTCGTACCAATTTGGTCTCGTGTGCTGTTACAAGTATGAGGGCGGTTGTCACTTCCTGGCTGCTCACACCGTGGAAGGTTGTTTCTTCAGGGACCTGAAAAGGAAGATAGATTAGTGTTGGTCTTAGAGACTTGGGAGCGTGACCACAGAGCCCAACGGACAACTGCTTGAGGCCGGTCACGCACGGCCTTTTTATGAAAGGTTTTTTGAGGATTAGCTCTGCTCTTAAAGGCCCTTAGTGGGCACCCTTACCGCCGAAGACGGAAATCCGTGAGGTAGGGTGAGGTGTGACATTTTTAGGGTCGACCTTTTCTAACCCTTCCTTCCTTGTGAGAAGGCAGCATCGCTGCAGATGCTGGTTGTCCGAGGGAAACACCTTGCTGCTGTCACACCCCTTGACAGTCAGTCAGCAGTACGACTTCGCCCTCAAACCTTGGGTAGCTGCTTTTAGTCTCATCGTTCTCCAATCGACCTACCTGGCATGGTAGAACCTTCAGGAACATATGTTCCAGCCAGTATAGCTCGGTTGGGTGATCACGATAGGCAAGCCCGACCACCACGTCAAGGTAGCAGCTACGGTCGGGTGTATGGATAAAATCCCAATACAAATCGCTGCAGCTGCTACGTATGTAATAGTGACTGTACAGACAAGGACATAAGACTAAAGATCTTGATTAGATTATTGTTTCACATAATCGGAAATAGTTCGCTCACACTTAAATCTAAATGATTATGTATAAGAGAAATAGATTGTAAATTGATTGAACCACTGTTAGGTCCATTATCATTTGCAGATATTGATAGATTACAATTCAATTGAGTTCTTGTTCTTTTACAATGAAATATGATCTGTCCATAACTAAACAACGTTGGTTTTCAGATTGATAATTTGTTCTTAAATAATTAGTTATTATAATTTCTAATTCATCTTCGAAAATTCATAGGTACAGTAGCAATATACATATACTGTCCATAGATAAATTAACAGTATTATATTACAAAGTTTCACACTTGAACTAATCAGTCTGTTAACTTACTTTAATGATTTAATTTACAGTTTTTATTCAGAAAGTTTATTGCATTTTTGATTTAGTATGTCAATTCTTCGCGAAAGAGGAGTTATTGATCATTTGCTTGAGAAATGGAATGTTGAAAAAATAAAAGACACTTCAAATGTTGCTACTTTTAACTTAGTTACACTTCGCAATATGGCTGGTGCTTTTATTGTACTTGCTGTATTCGTTGTAACAAGCTTGATCGTTTTAGTGATTGAAATACAATGGCATAAACATTCATTAAAGAAAGCGAAACTCCATCCAGAATCAAAAAAGCCTACTGATGGCCATCCATCCTTATGGCGACGTTTTACACATCCGTCAGAGGAAATACCTAAGCCAAAATTAGACTTATCACGTAATCCTACACTGAAACAGTTAAGATATGCTGGACATAGAAGAGCTTCAGCAGCATTTGACGCTACAGTCATCACAGCTGAAAATCAAACTGAATCCAACTTAGAATAGATTTTATTACATGATTCAAACTTGGTATTCTAATTCATGATTAGACTAGAGAAAAAGTCATCTACAGTAGGTTGTTTTTGTAGTATACATTAATTTATATGTTGTACTGATAAATATGCATTAATGTAGCATTAGTTTGTGTAATAGTACCAAAAAATGACTCTTAAAATAATCAGGAAGAGTCATTAGAGCTTTTCTGTCTTGTTTACTGATTATTTGAAAATAAAAGTAGAGATTATAATGAACTTTTCATTTAAATATGGCTATTTGGGATTTGGTTCAGCGCATAATTACCAATGTGTTATACTTGAGACTTTAAAAGCTCTACATATAATGAAATGTGTGAATAAGTTCTAAAATTCAATACTTAATGATTTTAGGGGACATTTCAGGTACTTTTGATCAATCTTATAATTACGTAATCATAACTATGCATCTAAAACATTGTCTCACAAAATCGGCCCCTTAAGAGTATCTTTTAATCTGACATTATAAGTCATTAAAGTATGCTTCTGATCTACGGTGACATATAGAACGGGACCATTAAATTTTCTTACCGAGAATTCCAAACTGGGAACCATGGAAACTAAGTTTGGATTCAAGAAATATCTACGACACATCTGACTAAACAGACATAAGACTGTTGATACCGACTACCTGTGAGATGTATTTCTCAAAATCGAAGTAGGAAGCTTTGAATTGCAAAGTCAAGCGAATCGGATGTAATCCACCTGCCCACTACCAAAGATGGTTTCAGATGAGATTCGCGTTACTTCAAAAGATGTTTGAAGATGGACGAAAATACGAACAGATGGATTCTTATGTTTATTGTGAGATCTGAGATGTCCATTTGAAAGTCATGGATAAGCATTTAAGTGAAGTTTCTTAATAAGATGAGATAGCTATTCAGTAATCCTCTGATTTCTCGAACGCGTACCTATACTTAACATAAAGTATTTAAAATATTCAATCAGAATTTAGCTGATCATAAAACTTATCCTAATCTCCCATCTCTCTAACTTAAATCATAAACTAATCGTAGGCTGTCCTGATGAGGAGTTGACAATATAACGAATACTGTTGCTCACTTATTCTCTTTTGTTCGCCACCTAATGTAGACCACTCCAGCATTCAATCGTAAAATTAGAATTCTTGTTGAATGAAACAATATATTTCTACTTGTTTTTATAAAAAGTCATGTTATCTACAATCCATCGGTTTTTGTTTGTTTCAAAAGAAGACTTCCATCTGATAATCGAGTGTAAATAAATCATTGGTCATTTATTACAACACATCACGTGTCTGATTATTACAACCTGATGCATACAAAAATAAAATATTTACTAAAGAAGTCGAATAAAGTGTTTGATAGTAGACTATTAAAGGAAAGTATAATTTTCATTCCGGAAAGCATAATAACAAATAGAATTACGTTGAAAGAGAAACCGTGTGAATGTACATCGATCAGGTGATAGATTGAGAGAGACGAAAAATGAGATGTTTGATTGGTTAGGAAAAGAATTCCGACTTGCATAAATAATACACAAATACTTTGATCATCATCCAAAATTATCATGATTCTCTTTATCGTTACTAACATTAATATAGGAAGTTCGGACATCAGGATTAGCGACCTTGTTAGTCTGATATTTCGTTGATGTTGGCGATGATGATGAGGTTGTCTGTCGACAACAACGAGAAAGACATGGTGCATTCTTCCTCTCTGAAGCCTCTGAATAAACAAAATTATCAATTGTTGCTAGAATACCACCGAATACTGCCAAACTACCTACTATATACACTTGTATATGCTTATAAGTCAATTGAGGTACAAAAAGTTGTATACATTGTATGAAGACGCCAGTTGAGATTTTGTCAACAAATGATGCGATCCCATGAACAAATGCTGCTGTGTGCACTTGTTTGACACCGATCAACGTTGTGATCACAACCAATGCTCGAACATTATTGATTGTATTGCCAATGCCTAGAATAGCTGCAGCAAAATAAATTGCTAAGAAGTTGTCTTCAGCTGATTGTAAGAAGTATGCAATTGTACAATAACCAAGGATGAATGGAACACCAACAACTGAACCGATCTAAAATTGAAAAAGCATGTGCGATTTGTAGAGGTACATGTACATGTTGAAAGAGCTAATAGGTTTACGTATTCTTCACATTAGTATATTATAAAATACACAAACCATACTGATTTATTTGAAGTGTTGTTTGAAATCAATATATGAATATGAAGGCCATTCCTAGAATATATTGCATCAGGTGTAGCCAAATGCCATGGAAATGAATTATTGATCATTTAAAACATTATGTGTCAGTAACTGACACAACTCTCATTTGGCTACTTGAAACCCATAATATGTCATGTTTGAGTGACCAGTCTCAATATAAATGTTTCAGTGGTAACGTTTATGGCTACGAGTATGGCTGGTAGATGGAAGTATTCATTTCACGAGGTCATTAAATACACCCTGTTGACGTGTTCTGATAAGGATGAATCCCAGTCCCAGTGCTTTCTGTCGATTATCTCCAACTTTTCAAAGTTTCAGAGGATACAAGTTGAGTAGCAGTATGTTTCTGAATTTAGTTTAGCATAGTCAGAGAATTTTTCCAATTCTAACTCATCATTGTTGTATTGGAAGGTGTTTATTGAATCGGTAGTTCATCGATATTGAAAATGTATGGTGAAAGTACCGAACTTAATCAGTTGTCTAATTTAACCTCATGTGTTGCATTGTATATCAGCAATTTGGACAGTGAGTGTCGGTATTTACAAAAACACAAGAATTTGAGTACACAGTAATCCTCTTGCAATTCAAACCGCCACATGACACTTCTCAAAGTTAAATAACCATTCATTATCAAAAAATATATTTATCATGCTCATCTACCAGAATCTGATGAAGATCAGTAATTCTATCCATTCACCCATGGTCTGTTCGACTAATCATGTTGTCGACTTTGTCATTGTTACATCAGAAGCTTCTTCCGTCACAAATGAAGCAACCAGTAATTCATTTCAATGAGGTGTAGAGATGTTCAGCTCTCGAAATTTCACTATTCACTTGACCGGTCTAGTCAATTTACTTTGACCATCATTCTCAAAATATTTTGTAATTAATCCGTTTACACAAACCATCTATCTACATAGTGTCTCAGTGTGTTCTATTTAACATCATATGAATTCTTACTCCAGGTTTCTTCAACATTACAGAATTCGCTATTAGAATTTTTATAATTATAGACTTGAATTGTTTCTCCTCGAACTAAACTTTATCAGATCTTACGATTACAACTCATCTTCTCTTATAATTGTTCAGATTCGAGTGTTTCCAAAGGGACTGACTAAGATTTTGTAAGGGTTACTTTCAGTGATGCATAAAGGCGACAATCTTGAACAACAGACAGTTAGTAGACAGACGGGTAAAAGAATATTTGAGTATCAAATAAAAGATGAATGAAGTTTAAATTGTGGTCAACAAAACTTCTGTCCATCAGCAATTGTTGTGATACTAATTATTTTTAAGTATTGAACATTGAAACCAATTTCAATGTTATTCAAATTGTCAAGTACTTTTACTTACATAATTTCCAAGTAACTTGGTAATTCTTTGTACACCAGCTGATGTAATTAGACAGAAAACGGTAGTGACTAAAGGGACTGAAACCATTGAACTTTTATTCATTTTTAACGAATTCAACAAGAATGGACCCATATACAACTATAAAAATAACAACAGAAATAGTAAATTGCAAAGATTATTTTAATTTGCATTTCAATTTATTGAGTTAAGTAATCAAAACATGTATTAGCAGAGTTTTTACATCCCATTATTGATACTCCGAATTGCGGGTAATTTAGACTCTTTCAAAATCACGGTGCTGATCGGAATGCCTCAATAAAGCATGTAGTCAAAAGTTTGAAATATATGTAATATGTGTTTAGAAATGTAATCCATAAACTGCGTAGATACTTGTCGAGAGTCATCAGATGGATGTATCCAAATCCTCGTATTTTCCAAAACAAAACAGTACCTGATTGCAGAATCTACTGCTCACCAAAATCAAACTTCACTACTAACTGTTAAAATTAGAGAAACTACTGAAAAACAAGTAGCACTGACAGATGATTCGTCCTAGTTCGAGGTTATTCAGAAGTGAACGCCAACGATTTCATCAAATTGTCACCTTAAGGCATTTCTTCATATGCCTTTAGTAATGAATGTGTTTTCGCCGAAACTCAACGCATATACAGAGTTATTTGAAACACATTCAGAGTAATTTTCAGTGGATAATACTATACTTCGTAAATATAATTGTCTATCGTGATAAAAACCTTATTTCTTTGAGGCTCCAAGGTGCTCGGATGAAAAATTTTTATTGCTTACAGTTTCCTGCAAGAAAATGAATGTTTACAATCTAAATTTTAACAGGGATGCTACTGAATTAGGGCCTCCTCTTCTATTAGTCAGACGTGAATTTACTTCTTTACAGAATATCTATTTCCGAAAAAAATACACAATTCGCTTATTGCTTACCACAGAAACAGTTACACTCAGACGCATTATACTGAATGTAGAACAGCTCAGCCAAAATCGTGGTAATGTAAACCAAGCGTACCAAGGAAGTGTAGATGAAAGACTGTAAGTTCGTTTTCGTTTTGATTTAACCCGTGAAACTGCAACATCAGTAACATCAAGGAATTTTTTGTTATTATTGTTGTTGATTCCATTAACCTCTGAGAATTTATCTTGAGTATCTTGAATAATAGAAAGAAAAAAGTGTTCATTTTTGACTGCTTTCACATTGCAATAATTAACATACATCAATTAAATTCAAAGTATACAACATGGTCGTATGGACCGATTCTCATCTGTAGATGTTAGTTCATTTACTATAGAACATTTATATTTAGCACTACAAATACCATGTCCTATAAACTGAAACAACGCTTTGGTGAAACAATAGATGACAGACGACATGTAACCAATATGATTTATGTGTATGTGTTTCATATCAAACAACACTACTCAATTAACCACAAGTATTCGAGTGATTCTCCACACACTGATCTCATGCATTTTTAGTTCAATAAAATTATTCCAGGTTGAAAAAGTCAATCAGCAGTTGAATCTCAGAGAAACACTTTCAATGATAGTCAATAACTGAATGAGAGGAATTCACTACTCATAAGCTTTCCGAACCGAGAACCACAGAGTTTTATTATCAGCCAGTACAAGTCACTCAATAATCAACTTTCGTTACATAGGATAGTAAAAATTACAAATCACTACATCCACTGTGTAATTCAACTGCTCCAAAATGACCATTTCAACGAATCTATATACTGTTTGTTCCCAAGTATATCAATCAGCTGTTTGACATGCATCGAAACTATTCAGCCAATTGGATTTCATGTAAACATTGATGTGAGTCTGAGAATACGTTACCGGAATCGTGAAATGGTAACATTATACTTTGAAGTAATAATAAAAGAAGTCTACACCTTTCCATCTGTAGTACACTTAAAACATTGTGTTTAGAGTAATTCAATTGTTCAGGATTGTCCAATACTCCAATGAGATGGACAGAATTGCTTGACACTAGGAACTGTCAATCGACTGATTCTTCGACAAGCACATAACCCGTCTAGTGGCTATTTACACATCAACATCACACTTAATTTTACCAAAGGTATACATGTCATTAACTTGTAACTTCCAACCAGTTTACTGAGTTCATTCAATCGATTTGAATGTTTTGAAGTCAACAGTAAATAAAAACTTGACGGAAGTTTACATTTCTATTGGTTAGGACATGTGTTACGTATGCGTAACCACCGACTGCCTCGACAAGCTTTGTTCTGTGATCTAGGAGTAGGTTGGAAGAAAGCTAGTGCCAGCCAAACCAAAACATGTCACAAGTATATGAAGTCGCTGACAAGTGGACTGAGTCGTGTTGGTAGATGTAGATTACTTTGTTGGGGTCCGCGAGATGATAGTAATCGATGGTTAGAGACCCTGAATCACATGAATCAAAATCGTTTACAATGGCGCCGGTTCATTCACTCTTTGTGTTCTCTGAATTTCTAATCCTCTGGATTCTTCATCACCTTTGTCTTTCTCGTTTTAGGTTTATTTTACCAGAATATACTTCTTGAATAATATCTTCGAACCCTAATCTCTTCGATTACTGCTAAAACTTCTACTACCTCTATTGATATGGAATTCGAATTGACAATTGCGTCTCTGTGTTGATGTGGTATGGCAACTTTAACTGAAGTACGTACGTATGAAGTTCTTCGTTGTAACTGATAGACTATATAACAGTGAAATAATGAAAACTATGTTTATGACTAGTTTCACATATCATGAAAGAAAGACAACTAGTTCATAGTTTGGTTTCTTTTCACGAAATTATGGGCTACGAATGCTAAGGACGATACATCATACTTGATAAGACATAATTTCATTCTTGATCCCGTCATAACAGTTACGTATTTTTGAGGAAGTGGTTTGGTTAGAAGATAGTTCTCGTCATAGAGTGGTTTCAACTAGAGTGCAAATAGAAAGTAGCTAGAACTATAGTGGTATTTTGTTTAAGTTCGGTATGTCCGTTGATGTTCCTCTATGTCCTGAATGAAATACCAGTCTATCCATAAAGTAAATAAAAGTCACTCAGTATTATGAGTTAATTAAAATCAGAAATATTGACCAATCTACTCCAATCCAGTGTGTTGAAGGTGTTGGCGTCGAATGGAACCAGACCGTAGTGAAGCACTGCTCACACTTTTCAAATACTGAGAAATCAAATTCATAATAGACCTGATATTCTAACAGTTTAATAGCTGATTTCATTACAGAGTCCAGTTTTCCATTTAATAAAATATCAACCTATGAAAACAGAGGGGAACAAGTGGCAGACATTCTCGATCAATTGCAATTTAGTCCTGTCATATAGAAAAGACAGTCAAGTGAAAATAAGTCTTGCAGTTTGTTCATCATCGCTCCTTATTTGAATCTAGTCATTCAGAATACAGTAAAACCACTGAACATTTACTAATGCGTGTGTGTCTAATAATAATCGAATGAGCAATTTTTATTGGATGAATTAGTCGAAACCAATTTTTCACTAGTCTCATCAGTACAAATCTCTCTTTAAATACTCTATCATCCCACTAAATTCCGTAACGCAAACGCGCCAACGTATCAAAAAACAACATTTATACATGTTCATAGTTTTAAAATAGTACATTAATATGATGTGCAACCTACTCTCATAAGATTTTATCTCGAAAACTTGACGTGCTCTCGGTTTTCCTTCACGAACACCACAATGGAAGATAACTGTGAACAGCACTCCAATGCCAGCCACAATCAGTGCAACGTTTCGAAATATAGGCAAATCTTGAATTGTTATATTGTATTCTGAATGTAAAACTGACTGTTCCGCTACATTTGTTGATTGATTTGTAATAGAATTATTGAACAATCCTCTTCGTTCACTTTCTGCAAGAGTGTCAGTTCTCATGAGCGTTTTCGAGAATAGTTGACTACTGTTCTCATTTTTAACAGTTTCATTTGTTGATTTCAGAAGTAACAAACTGGATTTTTCTGATTCGAAGAATAAATATGTTACAAGCAATGTGGCCATGTCGCCGATACCACTGAAGAAATATCTTAACGATGCAAGTAGTACTCGTTCATCATGTTGATCGGTTAAATCATTGATGATTGATAAGTGGGGAATTTGTACAGCTGCCCAACCAACCTGCAAAATTTTTTGTATAGACGAGAAAAGAATCGATTAGTTTGACAGTAATTTTGTTGTGATTTGCCATTAATATGAAAACACTGTTTGACCCGCTCATGTCACTCGGCATGACACATGTGCCGATCAGACCTGAAAGAAAAGTTCTCTAAAGATACACTTATATGGTATCTAGGCTATTCCAACTGACAGTTGATCCTCGTAGGATGGCGAGTAAACCCAGAAAAATCTCACACAGATAAGTGACATTATTAAGTTCCAAATCACTAACTCTTGTTGAACTACCAATGGGGATCAAAAGGAACTGGACTTCTGCGTCCTCAGTCTCCACGACACTACAGTGGATCGAATTCACAATTATCAGACTATATATTACTTTCTAATCATAAATTATTGTACAGTCGGTGCTATTCAGGAATGTGAAAGTGAAGTGAACTGAGAATTCGAAATCACTTTGTCAGTTTCAAGCTACAACGTAAGATTTCACGGTTATTAGCAAAAGTTATTGTGTTTCCTTTCTGAAAGTATGTTCCAGCTAATTATTTTCAACTTCTGTCTGATGGTACAGATAGCTACAGAACAACAACAACTAATTTACTTGAGAATATAACCTGTTCATTTTATCTAAGATAAGTCAGTGAACACTAGTTAACTACCTTGAAAAAACAAAAAAACACCTGTATAGTTCCAGCAAATTTTAGTGCATCTAACTCCTAAATAAATGTTTACTTTTTAATTCTGTAAGGAAATTAACTTTCTGTATATTTTAGAACGACTCTCCACTCTAATGACTGCTGATAATTTTGTTGATATCTATATCATTGTCTGACCATTGTGAGGACCTTTGTAGACATATTTCGACACTGTCAACTATTGATGTGGGAGATTGATACACATTCCCCACTTGTATGTCACTTATCAACCTATTGATATAATCTTAACCTTTTGAACTGATTTAAACCTATCTTCAATGCATCACATACAGTTTGTCCAGTCTGTATCAAAGTTTACAACATCGAGACGCCAAAAGTTTGGAGCATAAAAGAAACAGTATTTCTTCTGATTTTCAACTTAATCGCGAAAATTCCACGGCTACATATCAGCGAGAAACTTACTTATTCAGCAAGTACAGTCAACAGTGAAGAAAGACAATAGATTCCCGAAACTAATGAATGCAAGTGAAGACTATTCAAAAATCGATTTTAATTTCATGATCTTGATAGTTTTCATTTACTGCTTTAACCATCAGCTATACCAAGCGAATTTGTTGATGACAAAAACTGAAAGCATATAAACAACCCATTTATTTAGCGACCACTTTGTCCTACACAGTGTACAGAGATATTTAGATCCACCGTATATACTCTCTTTATTCTTATTACATTGTCTAAATATGTACACAGATTTCAAACAATTAAATCCTGAAGAAATTTCCGTACTAATGACTACTGATTCCGACAGTTTAACACATCAACCACAGATACTGCCATTATTATTACTACTCTCAAGTAACACTATCAATAATACATCAAGCATATTCAATCACACACCAAAACATACCTGAACACAAACCATAAAAATGCCGTTGATCAATAATTTCGCCCAAACCGGAAGTCGAACTAGACACTCCGGTTGTCCAAACATCGATGGAAATGCAATAAGCATCAATAAACATCCACCTAAATGCCATGATTTTCTCTGTCCAAGTCTCAATTGACGTTTCATTCGATTCAAAAACCGCTTATCCTTCTTCACATTCCCGTCGTCACATGATATCAATTGATTACCATTCATTGATTTTCCAGTTGGACCAAGTGGTCGATCCGATAAATAACCAATCAACGGTGTGGCTAATCCATTAGCGATCTGACCAAATAGTAATAATGCACCAACTTGTGAACTGCTCAGACTAATACAACCTTCATAAAATATGATGTAGAATATACTGATGACTCCAGCTACTAGATCTTTCAACATCTGACCTGTTCCATAAGCGATTTTACTTATCCACTTCATTGTCGTTATAGTTCAATTGTGAACAGGTGTTAATGATTGTGACTGTTAATAGTCATTCAGAATTCTCTGTTTCCACTAATGGAATGGACACATTAATTTGTTAAAGTGGGTAAAATTTGAATGATTTATGTTCTTTGTAAGAATTGGCAATTGGCCAGTTGAAATACTGTTCTGTATACAATAACGTTCCTATAATTTTACTCGTTTCGATTAATTAATCAATAAGAACTGACCAATTAGTAAATACCTATTTAAATTCTTATTAATCCAACCAATAGAAACATTACTTAATTTAGATAATAAAAATTAGAATTGTCTGAACTTGTAAAAAAAGGTTTTATACTATTTATTGAAACTAAGCATAACAAAAAGCCTTTGTTTGAAACATTCAAAAATGAAAACTCTGCGCTGCTCACAGAAGATTCTTAACTTTAATGCGGAAAGCAAATGACGTCAGTTACAGTTTTATTGAAAATAACTGATTGGCTGTCTGCAGTGATTCAGAAAGTTTCTATGAAAGAAAATTATTGGTTTTAAATAAATAAATTTGGAAATTATGTAAAATAATTTACACATCATGTTTTCTAATTACATTTGTATAAGTTAATGTTTTTATAAATAAACTTATTCGTCAATACTAACTCACCAATCAGTTAAAATATGTCTAATCCTTCAATATCTTTATGACATTTACCTGTAAGTCATTTTAACAACGATTTCACAAACTTTCAATATATGTAGTAAGTGTGAATACGAAAAATCAGGTTTACTTCCTCCGACAAATACATGTTATGATTTAAATCTAGACATTATGTAGTTTTTAAGACTGCTACTAGAGTGAATGTACTTACTGACTTTACTTTACCCTGTTACCGCCCAATTGAGAATAGGCCACCAACCAATTTTCTTCAACCAACTCTGTCCTTCAGTTCCCTTTCCACGTTTGTCTAATTTTTGTTCATTCTTCTCATGTCTTTCTCTATTTCTCGGCATAATTTATTCTTTGACATTCGTCTTTTACTTTGACTTTGAGGGTTCCATGTGAGGGCTTGTCTTGTGAGGTAGTTGGGTGCTTTTCATAGTGTGTGTCCTATCCACTTCCACCTCTTCTTCCTGATTTCCCCCTTCATGGCAATCTGGATGATGGCTTTTGTAGTTCTCCAAATTTCCGTCCCATACAGTAGAACTGTCTTGACATTTGTATTGAAAATCCTGATTTTGGTATTGATTGATATTTGTATGGAGTTCTAGATGTTCTTCAATTGTAGAAATGCAACCCTTGCTTTGCCTATCCACTCCTTCACATCTGCATCAGATACACCTTGGTAGTCCATGATACTCACCAGATAAGTAAAGGATTTTACACCCTCCAAGGTATCCCCATCAAGTGTGATTAGGTTGGTACATGCTGTGTTGCATTGGAGAACCTTGCTTTTCCCTTCATGCATGTTGATACCTACTGCTGTTGAGGTTGCTGCTACACTGGTTGTCTTATCTTGCATTTGTTGTTGCGTGTGTGATAGAAGAGCCAGGTCATCAGCGATCATGAAGCTTGCCATCTTCTGAGTATTGGTATCTGTTTAACAAGACCCTGTTGGAGATTTTTTCTGTTATTGAGAGAAAAGTGTTGCCTCTGTAGTTCTCACACTTGTTGAGATCTCCTTTCTTTTGTACTTTGATGAGGTATCCCTCATTCGAGTCTATTGGTAATTGTTATTCTTTCTAAATCTTGGTGAATAGAGCGTGGAATATCTTTGCACTTAGTGTTATGCCTGTTTTCAGTGTCTCAGCTGGAATGCTGTCTGGTCCTGCTGCTTTACCGCTCTTGATTTGTCTGATGGCCATACTGATCACTTCAATTGTTGGTGAACCAACATAGATTTGGAGGTCTGTGGATGCTGCTTCGATATTGGTTGGGTTCAGTGGAGCTGGTTGATTCAAGAGGTCATTAATGTGCTCTACACTCAAGTTTCGCTGTTCTTCAATGTTGCTGATTACTTTGCCTTCCTTGCTTTTCACTGGTCGTTCTGGTTTACGATAGTTTCCCGCCAGCTTCTTTTATGTATCGTACAGTTGTCTCATGTTTCGTTCTCTTGCAGCCTTTTCGCCGTCATTACTAGATCTTCCACATATTTACGTTTGTCGGTTCTGATGCTCCTCTTCACTTCCCTGTTTGCTTCTGTGTATGCAGCTTGTGCGGTAACTTTCTCTGCTCTTGTTCGGCTGACATTGATTGCTGCCTTCTTATTCTTCCTTTCTCGAATCATAACCCGAATACCAACAGAGATCTATTCCTTGTGATAGTGCTTTTCGTGCCTCAGAACTTCCTGACATGAAACGATTGTCTCCTTGATCCCTTTCTAGTTGTTCTTCATGCTAGTTTCCTTTACACTGAGTGGATCGTGAGTGATCTGGAACCTATTGCTTGAGTTTTAAGGTATTCCGAAGAAACGTCGTATTAAACATCTGTGATGTTGTCTGTCCCGTTGTCCAGTGTTTCTTGAGTTTCAGTTTTATTTTAGCGACCAGCAAGTGGTGATCTGAGGCTATATCAGTTCCTCTCTTGGTCCTCACATACCATATGGTCATTCTGAACTTTTGACTAGTACTTATATAGTTGATTTGTTTCTGTGTAGTGTGATCCAGTGAAAGCCATGTACTTTGTGTATGCGTTGTGTGGAAATATTGTGCCGCTGATGACCAGTTTGTTAAAGGCACATAGGTTTGCAAATCTCTCACCATTTTCGTTCCTTTCTTCCAGTCCATGTAGTCTAATGATGTCTTCATATCCAATGTTGTACATGCCAACCTTGGCATTTAGGTCTCCCATTTGAATGGTCAAATCTTTTGATGAGCATCTGTTGACCATTGACTTGAGCCTTTCGTAGAATTGATCTTTATCGTCGTCATTGTAGTCGTTGTTAGGTCCATAGCATCGGATGACGTTCATTGTAATGTCCTCTTTCTTTGTTTTTAAGGATAGTTTGATGATCATGGGTACGTGAGATTCCCATCCTACCAGTGCCTTTCGTGCTTGTTTGAATAGCATAAGTGCAACTCCTTAGGTGTGTGAAGCGTTTTCTTCTTCATGGCCGGAGTATATCAGCAACTCTCCTGAAGCTAGTTTCAGTTTTCCAACCTGCATCCAATGTGACTCATTGATTCCAAGCACTACGAAGTTGTATCTTTTCATCTCTGTAGCAACTTGGAGTAGTCTCTCGGTTTCCCACAATGTTCGGACATTCCATGTACCTAAAAGAATGATTGCTCTGGTTCAGAGAATGGGCATCGACCTCGTGACTTTTGAATGGACTAGGCTTTCATGATGAGACGTCATAACTTTTCTGAATGACGACCTTCTAACTCCTAAAGCATAGTTAAAAAGGTTAGAATACTGTTTTCTGGTTAGAGTTTTTTAAGCGAGTTAGTTTTCTACGAGATGAGGTCGCCAACCCCATGCCTGACCCCTCTCCTACATCCGCGCTTGGAACCAGTAGTAGCCCCAGCGGAGCTCTAGGCAGAATTAGAGTGAATGTAATGTATTATAAACATCATAAGTTTTATAATGATTATCGGTGATTATTTCCAGTGTATGTGAAAAATGACAAATCTTGAAGCTAGTCATAGATACTACTATAACTCTACTTTCAAAAATAAGAAATATATGTATGTCTCAGTCAAATCTGTATAGAAAGAAACTTTAGTCACATCGATATAAAGCATACTTTTACTTCTCACATTTTATTCAGTATATAAATAAACATCTCTAACTGTAATGTGTTTGTTTTTAAATGACAAAAGTTCTATGAGTTTATTCCTAATAACAGCAAAGGAATAAGGATGAAAATAAAACTAAATTTAACAGTTAAGTTTCTGTACCTATTGACTGAAAGGTAGAGTATTACGGGGTTGTGAAGATTGTTAAGTTACTCATTGAGATAATGAGACGATCACTGTTAGACCTTCATTAAAAAACCTGGAAGCACGGCCGTTTCATCTTGGTATGGGACTCATCAACTTAACTTAAAAATCTTCACAACCCCGTAATGCAATTACCTCTGCTCACTAGTGACTTGCTCCGTAAGGAATCTTCTCCGAGTTCTAATGAGAAGTTGTGACCAATGTAGTTCAACCTGTTCTAGTATAGACTGTGACTACCGAAGACAGTGTATGAGGTTGCGCAAGACCGTGAATTGATCGAAGTTAGACATTAATACCACTGGATACCGGCCCAATGGTCCAGATTTTAGGCGGTCGCGCGCAAGATCGAAGTCCTGGATTTGAATCCTGGGAGGTGCAGGAGTCTTGGCTGCCCACTACTGACGAGTCCCATACCAGCACGAAACGACCATCCAGTGTTTCCAGGTTTTTAATGTTGGTATAACATTGGTCGATTCATGATTTCAATGAAAGGTAGTGAGGAGTTTTGAGGATGTTCGAGAAATATACTAAAAAATTGATTTTATCTTATCAAGATAGTCCTAGATTACCTAAAAACGTCTACGTACATATTAGTTTTGGGGACAGTGATGGGTATTGAAGACTATCTTTTTCTGTATTCGCCCTTTGACTCGTGCGAATAGATTTCGCACGAAATCTAAAGGTTCTTCTTGAAGATCTTGTAATACAACATTCATCGAATATATTTGACGGGAAAATTTTAAGCATGTACATTGATGGTTGTAGACAAAATTGATGACATTAAATTCACCATAGAAAAGGAATCAAACAAGAGTCTTTCATTCCTGGATATACTAATCACCAGAACTAACACAGGAAAATTGGAGACTCCAGTATTTCAGAAGCCAACTACTGTAGCAATAACCCAAGAACTCACAAAATCAACTACGTACAAACGTTGTTCAAGAGAGTGAAGACACACTGAAGCACACTTGAAGCGCAAAGAAACGAAGAAAAATATCTAATATCTATCTTCCAAAAGAATGGCTATCCAAGCAACTTAATCAAAAAACATCAACTGAAGTAGTCAACAGAAGCGAAATCCAGTTCAGGAACCAATAAACGGATAATCCCACCATACATAAAAGACATATCGGAACACACAGCACGACTACTGAAACCATATGAAATAGGCGTGTCACACAAACCAACAGAATCACTTCAATCAATCTTATGTAGACCAAAGGACAAAATGACAAAGGAAGAAAATCCAA